GGTGCCCCCGCGCGGGCCGAGGCTTTCCAGGGAACCTGGCGGAGGTTTTCCAGGGAAATTCTCTCGCTGCTGCCCGGCACTAAGCGAGAAGGCGCAGTCCAAATTGGAAGGGAGCAGCTGAGCAGCCAACGGGAGGGAGAAGAGAGAGGGAGACAGAAAAGGCACTTTCCACTCCAGAGTCTGAAATATGAGGGAGTCAGAAAGCAATTTCCTCAGATGCTCAGAAACAATCAAACTTTTCATCGTCAAGTGATGGGGAAAGACTGTGCCTGACCCTGGGCAGGCAGAAAGAAATAGCAGAGACAGTGCGGAGCTATGAAGCCACCCGTCACTGCKCAGATGGCAAATGGACACCCAGCAGCAGCCCCGTGCACAGCACGACACCGGCCACAGGCTGTGCCGAATTTGACAGGCGCCCGAGGGGCCCACGGCCAGTGCCCCCTGTCAGGCCAGGAGTCCCCACACCAGCAAAACAAATCGAAACAAGCCCTTGCGTATCAGGATGCTCGTGTCTCATGCGTATTTCTGTGGACACATTCTGGTGGGTCAGTGTTTGCTGAGAAGCAACGTGGGGAGATGGGACTGCCTGGGAGCCGCCACATCCCGGGTTCACGTGAGACAGTGTCGCTGCTGCTCAGCTCCTTTGAGCCCCTTGTCCTTCATCCCGCTCACACGCACCCRGTTTTAGCCAGGCTTCTCTCTCATTCTCCAGCCTCCTCGTCTATGACCAACCTGGGGCTGGTACAAATGAGCTGTAGAGCCCTCCCTCAGCTAATCCTCCTCTCACTCTTCCTCAAAAAACACTAGCCAGGATAGCCAGCAAATGTGGCCAGGATAGCGGAGCCAGGATGCACGGTACCCACCACAGCACTGGGCAACCCGGCCTGTGGCTTCTCCTGCTCCCTGCGCTGCCTCCCTCCTGCTTTCCCACCTGGAGCTACTGGAGGAGGGGCCTAGAGCCAAAGTGCTCTGGAAAGGGCCATGGCAGCCATGCGGGCTCCTTCTGACCTTTTCAAACTCTGACGAATGTGTTTAGTATAATTGGGAAGCACAAACAGATGAGAAAATTCAACTGGGGAAAGGTCAGTTAAAGGGCGAAAATCCAAGTGACGCAAACACTGAAAATCCCCCTGAAGAGCAAAACCACAGGAGGGAGCAGAAAGAGCCGTAGATAGAAGAGAGGATGCAAGGGGATGCTCCATGGAGAGATGGATGGAGGGCCAGTGAGCACCAAGTGCTAACGCTGCTCGTCCAGGTTAAGGTGATGCAAATACATCCTTGTGCCCACGATCCAGCCTGCAGGAAGGGCGAGGGGGGTGTTATGGAAAGAGGATACATGAGGGATGTTAAGCCCTGCGCTCAGGGTGTTAAAGTGAAGATGATAAGGTGACGGAAAGAAGACAAAAATGCAGAAAATATTTCTGTTGTGTATTTGATTAGGATCTGGAGCAGGATCAATTTAAGTCATGTGAGGACAATGAAATGTCTTCCTGCCCTGTCATACGTGAGGCCGTTATTCTGTTAGGCACAATCACTTCTCAGTCACGCTGTACAGATCATTGACACCCGAGTCCCGAGCTGGAGCGGCAGCCGCGGTGCCTGAGCAGCCGCCGCTCAGCACCGTTTCCTTAGGACCATGAGGCTCACGCGGCTGCCCYGCTACCTGCAGGAGTCCTCTGCCCATCCCTGCCCAGCGGTGGCCCTGCTGTGCAACCCACAGGCCGGTTCCAGCCCAATTTGACAAAGGAACCTCGAGAGTCCCAAAGGAAGGTAAGTGGCCGTAAGCCGTGCATTCACCCTGGCGGCCTGACAGAAGAGAGAGACGCGGTTGTTGGCAGCCCTTAGCCACGCTGCCCGGCGAAAACCCGCTGTCAAAGCAGCCCAACCAGCAGTCAGAAACAAACCAGGGAAAAACACAGGGAAAGATGCCTGTGTCGGAGAGCGGGGAGGAAAGAGCTCAACGGCATAGGCTGTAGGCAAGAGGAGAGGGCAAGGAGCTGTGGAGGGCTAACCAAAGGGATTTGACAAGAAACAGCAGGTAGTGGTGGGGACGGGGAGAAGCAGCAGACAGAAAGGGTGTCGTGAAGAGATCCTGGCTGAAGCTGGGGCATGTGGGTGGGAAGTATGAGAGATACAGCACAGATGGAGAAGACACTTTCCTTGGTCGTTCATTGAGCAAGTGGTTAATAAGCTCKGGAATACCAGAGACATTCCAGAAGAGTGGAGAAGTGCTACGTTTTACCAGTATTTGTGAAGAGCAAACAGAAGACCTGAAAATCTCCAGGCAAAGTAGCAGGAGAGCTGATATGGGATTCTTCAGTTAATGCCAATCAGCACGATTCTGTGAGAAACTGATTGTGCTGCGTGGACTTGTTTTGTTCTTGTTAGCCTTTGATGTGACTACAGGTCTGTTTGGAAAAGGTGATGCCTTAGATCTATCCAGGCTTTTGGAAGCATGAATACCCCAAAGCATTATGATGAAAAAGATGGCATTATGCAATATTGTCAGATCAGGAGATGAATTTGCTGGAGAATTGCATTCAACTAGCGATAAATCCAAAGGGGCTTGTCCCACCATCGAGCGGCAGTGTTTCTTAGATGCTTCTGCAGGAACGAGTCCTGGGTCAGRCATGATTCACCAATTTCTTCAGTGCTCAGGGCACAGAGGAAAAGTTCTCTCTGATACAGTTTGCTGATGACACCAATATTGTTAAAGTGTTAAAAATAATGAGGCTAGAACCAGCATAGAATGACCTACTACTCTTAGTAAAGTGGTCATTCACATARAACTTCTTTGAAGACAGCCAAGAGCAAATTGTATGGCTATGAACAGGAAAAAAACCTCCCATATCTACAGAGAATTTTCAGTCCTGAGAAGAGGCGATTGGAAAAAGATTTAGGGATCATAACAGGCAGAAAAATCAACAGAGGCTGCAGCCATGGATCTGACGTGATCCCTGGCATGCAAATGCTGGACTAAGGAAGAGAAGGGAGGAGATGATTGCTCCTCTCCCTGTGACATGAGTGAGTCCCTTGCTAGAAAACCGCACACTGCCACTGCTCTGTGGTGCTTATTTTAAAAGTAACATTGAAATGAAAATGATCTGAAGGCTGGCAAACTTAGTAGTTCGAGGAGGTCAATCTGTTTAATTTATCAAAAAGCAGAAAGAGGCATGACTTGATTACAGTATCACTGCCTTCCTAGGGAAAAGCCTACCAGGTACGCTGGCAGAGAATAACAAGAGCTGGTCACCGGAGGGTGATCAATCACAGAAACAAACTTCCAAGCGCAGTGAGAGATGCTCTGTCTCCCGAAGTCTTTGAATCATGACTGGAGGCCGTCTGGAAGACAGCTCCTGATCTGCCAGTTCCCGAGGGCTGTGAGAGCATAAGGGAGGGAGAGTTACCCCGCGCTCACCCTCTTCTGAAACTCCTCTGCAGGCGCCCACCCCTGGGCTGCTTTGGGCATAATTAAGTAGAGGGCTCACGTCCCCGCATGCGATAACTGTGCATTGGTTATAGGGCTCCAAACTTTCTCATCACGTTGCTGCCCAAGACGTTCACCCCACCCTGCTTTGTGCTTAAGAAGCTTTTGGCTAGGAGTTTGTCATGCTTGCACACAGTTGTGAAGATCATCTCAGAAGATGTGACCTGGGCTACATTTGGAGAAGAACTGGGAAAATGTCCGCAGCGTTTTGACAAGTTTTTCGGATCCTGCAGTGGTAAAGACACAAGCAAGTTGTAATCATACAGCACATTCCTACGGGCTCTAAAGTGGGACAGTAAGGGCACAGGAAAGAGGTGGCTTTGTGGCAGGGAAGAGGATGGTGGTTTCATCCTGTGAAGATCAAAGCGAGATCAGAAGAGAAGGATGCTGCTAGAGATGCCGGTTACAGACACCATTAGAAATTCCAGACACTCAGAAGCAATAACCCGTAACCTTCCAGTATATTTACTTTAAAAATAATGAAATATTGTAAAGTCATATTTTCATTCGCATTCTTTGCCTCATACTTTTGACTCTTTAGGTTACACAAAGATCACATTTCACATTTCTTCTGCAGCCATATGCAGAGGAGCTTCCTTTGGTAGCAACACGGTGTCAGGGGAGTTAAAGATCCAGGAGTCTGGAATTTAATCTCAGCACCTGCTTTCCTCAGCTAGGGAGGAGGCAAAGACTGTGCTAAGCTATGGGCAAGTTGAGGATGCCTTCTAGTGAGAGTCTGTGTGTTTTAAGAAGAAGAGGGTCTTCTCCTTTGGAGAGCTCAGGATGAGATGCACTCAGAAGACTTTCTGTTATTTGCCTTTGTAGATACAGGCAGGACAACGAGGGAGCAGAAAAACAGCGTCGACCAAAGTAATCCAGCACAGCGGACCTGGGGGTCAGAGTGAAGGAGGAGGCAGCATCGAGCTGCGAGGATGCTCAGGCTGCCCAGCTTGATCTGACTAATAATGAAAGGCAGCAAGCGTGTCAGAGAGTGTGAGGGAAACAGATCGATAGAGAGATAAAACTGAGGTGGAAGGAGCTGGCGAGGGGGTGGGGAAGAGAGTAATAAAACACTACAAATCATTGCAGTTACATCTGAACCTGATTTGTATGCGCCCTGTGCTGGTGTGAGTGAAGACACCGGGTGTAAGGCTACGGTGAATTAGGCCTAAATGCAGAAACAGAGAGGTGAAAGAAGGAAGGAGTCAGAGCTCCCATTAATACTGCCCTGTCACTTGCCTTTGCAATTCTTACCTTGAGACCCTGCTTCCTCCTTCATCCTCTGTCTGCAGAAACCAGGGCTCCGAGAACAGGCATTCATGGCCTTCCCCTGATCCATTGGGCCATGGTGATCTTCATCTCCCCCCAGAGCAGTGACACAAGGTGTCTCAGCCGCGTTTTCCCAGACGGAGCACAGAAAATGCTCCTKACAGCCCCCGACACGGCCAGGTTGCTGACGGTGGCATGCACCGCCATGCTCCCCTCTCGCCTCAGCACGGACACCAAGCCTGGACGTGCCTCGGGCACCAAAATCCCTTGTRGAGGGTTGGGGCAACTCGCAGGGCTGCAGAGCTCGGAGCCGCTCTCCTGYGCTCAGGCTGCACCCGCAGCGAGACGCGGTGCCCTGAAAGGGGGGTTCGCGGGAGGAGGCAGCGGTGGGGGAGGGAAGCAGCAGCCCCCGGGGAGGCTGGCACGGTCTCCGCGCCATGGGCCACGCGCTGCTGGCCGCGCTCGCTCGCCGGGGCCAGGCACTGCTTGGGTCTCCAGCCCGTGCGCCCAGGACAGGGCCTATGGCCGCTCCCGGGATGGAGCCAACGGCCGCTCCCGGGACGGGGTCATGGCCGCTCCCGGGATGGAGCCCACGGCCGCTCCCGGGACGGGGTCACGGCCGCTCCCGGGATGGAGCCCACGGCCACTCCCGGGACGGGGTCACGGCCGCTCCCGGGATGGAGCCCATGGCCGCTCCCGGGACAGGGTCACGGCCGCTCCCGGGATGGAGCCCATGGCCGCTCCTGGGCCGGAGCCACCGGCGTGGACCTGCCCGGCTCACAGCCTGCTCGTGGCCCGGTCGCTGCCGCCGCGGCTCCCGCAGCAGCCGCGCTGGGCTCGCAGCGGCGAGGAGGGAGGTGGGCACGCCGGCAAACGGGCGCTTCCCGCCTCCCCGTTCCCAGCCTCTCCACGCTCTCTGTGGAAGACACACATGGACAAGGCTCCGTGGAGCGGGAGGGCCCCGCGCTGCCCGCGCGCGGACACGTTCCTCGCCCGCCGTGAGGCCCGCCCCGCCC